GATGTTAGTTGTTTAATACTATTGATTTAGTTACAATAAAGTTATCATTGAAGTAGTAGTAATAATGACCCGTAATTTACCATTAATAATCAGTCCATTTTTAAATAATTGTATACTCTTGTAGATCACTCATTAGTATTTTAACTTATTTTACTTATAGTATTTTACCTAATTTAATTTTTTTTGAGTTTTAAATCAATTTATTTACAAAGTTAATATATAATCATAAGTATTATGTATATAGCTTTTCCTATTGTTCATTTCTCCATTTATCACCGTTGTAAACTTTAGAACAATGTTAGCGGAGAAGAACAGATGTTTTAGAAACTGTATAATGAATGGGCACGTGCAAAAGTCTATACTCGTTATACATTTTACGGCACATAATGATAGCAATAAAATAAGCTTTCGATCTCCAATAGATTTGCTATTCAGTATGGATATTAAACATGGGGATGTATTATCCAATGCGACATTAACATCACAATAGGCTCTCGTCACCCCAGTGGATATAGTGTAGGAGGTATCAGCGACGATTTTTCCATTCGCGATCAAACACGTGACCTCTCGTGTACATCTGCCACTCTTTTGTACTAGATTTTCGACTGAATAATTATTAGGGTTAACGCACACATTATACAGAGTTCACAGATTATGAGCTGCATTCGAATCTCCAATAGCTGAAAAAAAACCGTTTTTAATCTATAAGATTTTACTTTCCCCCATTGGTCAATGAAATAGATTCGTTATAGATAACTTTATGTTCTACGAAAAAAAAAAAACATTTTAATACCATAAATAAANAATCTATAAGATTTTACTTTCCCCCATTGGTCAATGAAATAGATTCGTTATAGATAACTTTATGTTCTACGAAAAAAAAAAACATTTTAATACCATAAATATAAAACTGTAGTTTTATTACATATAACTAGATCGTATTAAAGGCGTAAAATAGATAAAAATGTATTCTTTATTTGAACTGTTGAATGAATTCATTAGATAACTTAAATTAGATTGTAAATTGTTTCAAACATGTAAAAAAACTTTAACGATTTAGCTTGAGTTCATTGAATCCCAAATTACATGATAAATGACAGTAAATTTCTAAAAGTGAAATTAAAAACATTATATTGTTCTCTTTTGATTTTTTTTTTTTTGTCAAAAATGTTTAATTAAATTAAAGGTACTTTTTCTAAATCGAATATCGACGAAAAAATAATTATACAGTTTACATCTGTATCATAAGTAACTTTTAATAGATTAATTTTACATTGGTCTATAACTATAAATAAAATATTGATTGTTAATTGTTGGTTTTTATTAATTATTAAACTTGGAACAAAATTCAAAATTTAAAACAACATAACTTAAAAAATAAATAAGTTTCACACAAACTTATTTAATAAGTAAAATACATAGAAACTTATTAATCTTGTACTGTTCCATTTTACCTCGACTTATGGACAAAATGAGACATTTAACGACTTTTTTAATGATTTGTTATAAATAAGTAAATTTAATTAAGATGTAAATATACATCTTAAATAAAAATTTAGTTTTTATTTATTCAAAAATAGATAAAATTAAAAGAGTTACTTTAAGTTAAACGTTATGCGTGCCATTATGTCTTGGGTTCCTATATTCTAATAAAAAAAATTGTCTAATTTACTAGTTTCATAAATCAGAAAAATTGTTTAAAATGTATTAACAGATAACAATGGTTTTACTAGTAGTAAAAATAAAGGATTTCCCATAAAAAGTTATTTATTTATGGTTAGAGCTCGGAAGTTGGTGCAATTTGAATTTTTTTTTTTTTTTAATAAAGGAAAAGTCATTTATTTTGGTATACAAATCCACTGCGTAAGACTTACAAATACGGATTCGAAATTTTTATTTGCATTATTTATCATTTTTTGATTTTTCTTTTCGTAAAGGTAATTTTTAGCCATATTTTACTCATAATCTTATTTTTTTTATTAAATGTTTCAAAATAACAATATATTTTTTTTAAAACAGCTTATTTAAATCTAAATATATATTCAATAATTGTAAAAATATAATATTTTTATCTTAAGGTATTCAGTGAAAAAGCTCAAGAACTTGTAGACAAACATACTCTAAAATTTAATTTATTTATATTAGAGTTGATGATGTCATAATCTGGTTCAAAATAATAAAAATTAATTAAACTTCACAATTTAGAAAAAATTTCCAATCTAAACTTTTTCAGCCTAAATTTAAAATAAAAGAACATTGATAATTATAAAAATTTGTTATCTGATAACGCAGCTCATTTAATATAGAGAACATTAAAAGTACACTTATTGTATAACGTTTCAATTTTGATTAATTTTTAAATTAAATTTACATTTACTTAAATTAAAATGAGTAATAGTTTTTTAATTTATTTTAAGGTGAACGTTTATTTTATTGATGGTGTTTTAAATGAAATTCAAAAGAAAATATGCATTTTTTATAAATTTATTTCCCACTTTTAATTATATTTATACCATTATTTACGGTATTCTTTTTTATTTTCTATGTCGTTTTTTTAAATTTTTAAGTCATTTTTAGGTTATTAATTTCCGAACCCTAGTTATGATACTCTAACAAAAGCGTTTTGTGTATTAAACATTACCTTTACACTAAAGTTATTAACAATAAATTACACAAACCAGTAACAATTGTCGTTACTATCAATACATTGAAAATTATTGAAAGTTACCGTCCATACAGATAATTAAACATTTTCATTTATACAAATATAATATTTCACATAGGTAGTTAATATTAATTTAATTATTGCTGTCCATTCAACAAATCATATTATACCTTTATCAACAATAGTTATTATTCAAGATGGGTCATAAAAAATATTTTAATTATTTTTAGTAGGTGAATAGATGTTTAAAGTGTATTCACGTGGAAAGAAAGTGTATTTTTTTATATATTTGCATATCGACAAGAATATGACTTGAAAAGCAATGCGCACATTTTACATATGAATTAATAAAAACAGCCCAATGCTAGTTAATTTTTTATAAGACACCTCAAAGAAATTACTATATTCAAATTGATGAAACCATGCTAGCTTATAATTTAGTAGTTTTTTTTCAAGTTGATGTAAAAATCATAAAAATTAAAAATGCTGAGTTAAGTCAGTATTTTTAGATTCCGAGATTCCCATCTTAAAAACTTATTATATTTTATTTCATAATTAAACCTTTACTTTTATCTTAAATATTTTTGTCCTTAACTAATATCAGTAACGGTGTTTATCGTTCGCGTCAAAATTAATCGTTTTTATCTGTCTACAAATAGAATCTTGAGAAACACTGGGTAAAATATTTACAAAATAAACCGATCATGATTTTCTACTTTTCATTTTATCGAACTTTTTCTTATTCTATTATTGTTATAAAGCAGTTTTTTGATAGTCAGCATACCGAAACAATTGAACAACTTAAATTTTTGTTTTGCGTACAAAAGATTATCATAAACAGGTATCATACGTTGGCGTTATTTTATAGAAGAATACAAAATTATCAATTATGTAAATAAGCTTGATGAAATATTGATCAAACATTTTGATTTTAAAATTTTTAGTAAAATTAATTAAAGTTAACCCTACATTTAATTAAATTTAATATGTCTTGTAGAACGTGTATATGGTGTTGATTCTTCTGATTCTATCATTAGTAGACAAAAATCAGTAAGCGCTTGCAAACGCAAAGCTTTTAGACGATATTTGTCAAAAAGCTCAATAAATAACTTTTAGGGAAATTCTAATTTTACAACAGATGTGTCATATACAAAATAATTGCTTTATCATAAACCACTCGATTTATTTATTATTGCTTTAAATTGTTAATAACTTCTAAAATAGTAGTCTAAAAGTTGTTAATAGTTGAAGTTAGTCTGTAATTTTTTTTTTTATAATTTAATTTTACCCATATTAAAACAATAATAAAAAAAGAAAAAATATTAGTAAACAATAAAGATAGTTATCATAGACATTAACAAAAATAAAACAACTTATAACATTTTCTGAAATTTATCGAAGAATAATTATTTCACAATAATCAAACAATTTAATTTTTCAAAATCTACATCAATCAAAATCTTTGTTAATAATCACGGGGACTGTTGCAAAGGTTATTTTTCGTTTATTGATTTTTCTTTGTTATTTACTCACACTTAATCACTCTTTTTTCATTTTTCATAGAAAATTTTACATTTAACTATAAAATTAGTCACTTAACTACATATTACTGACTTCATGTGTTCTTATTTGCCTTTTGATATTCAACCATAATTTATTAAAAATGTGTAGATATAAATTATTTTAAAATTGTATGGAATATAATTTATTTGAACAATTCTTTTTGAAACACGTAAAACATGGTATTTAAAAACTAAAAGACCATAAACTAAGTATTTTTTTTGATCAAATAAAATAAATTTATTGTAAACCTTCTTAATTACGTAATAGTTAATTAGTAAATAAATTATTAGTAAAACATTTAACAAGCATACGCCATCTAGTGTTCAAAATATTCACTTTAAATATTCTTCATACAAATTATTTTATTTTGCGTTTGTTTTAATGTTAATTGTTTCAATACAATTTTGTATATAAAGTGTCATATTTTACAGTGCAACACAATATCAAAACACTTAAGTGTATGAACAAAATTTACTTAGTTTGAATTCTCACTTGGGTCCTAGAACCGGATTAAGTACTTAGGGGATCACATGCAAAATCTTTTTTTGTTTGTAATAAGATTCGACTCTATAGGACCAAAAGTTTTATATAAGTTTATATTAAGTTAATAAAAATAACAAATAGTCTAATTCAAGTACATAGTTTTTTAATTTAGACCAAAAATTAAGTTCCAAATATTTTTACGTGATAAAAAAATTTTTTTTGTAATTTAGATTAATAAGTTATAATCAGTCATGAGTAAAAAATACGATTATTTAATAATATTTATTTTATTTAATTATTACATTATCACTTTTTATTAGAAACAATTTTTTATATTACTGATAACTTTTATTTAGTCACAACGCAATATTATTTTATCTTTATTATTTTTAATTACACCGTCTTTCATTATGGAATCACGAAAAATACTATAAATTGTTTCGTTTAATATTTTATTCCAAAACCAAATGATACATTGATCAACCAATGTTTGACAATTAGCTACGCTGAAATTTTTATCTTTCGGAATAGTTTTTTCACTAGAACACACAAAATTCGTAATGTCTTTTTTTATTTCATTTTTACTATTTTCTTTATCTTCCGTTTTAATAAGTACACAAATGAAATTATCCAATTTTTGATTCAGTTCTTAAAAATCAATAAAATTATAATCATATTTTGTATATCATACAAGCATTTAAAATTAATTACTCTAAAAAAAATAATACTTTGTTATTAGATTTAAATGAAAATTTAAGCAAAATAATTAAATAGTTCTATAATGATAATCTATGAACACAATATAAGTAATTAAAATGTATAAGTTATAAATTTATTTGTTTTTAACTGATTTTAGTTGATTTATTTCAAATAATAAGTAACGCTAGCTCATTTTAAGTATTCAGAACAGAAAAGAATAAGTTCTTTAAAAGTAACGTTTTTAATCTACTTTAACAGTTAACGCAGATAAAAACGTAACATTTATAAGAGATATTGAAAAATAGAAAAATTCCTATATTATTGAAATAATTTGTCAGAGTACTATCAAAATCCAGTCACGTGACTCCACTTTAAAAAAATACAATAACACAACAAAAATAATTTGAACTTGATGTGCCGACTTTAATACATAAGAAGAAAATCTATTAATATTTAAGCGTTTCATAACATAATAAATTGACATTCATTATAACTAATCTTTACGCAAGCTTGAAGGATAATTCGAAATTATAATTTTTCAAGAAATTTTCGTTTTTAATAAAAATGTAGGATTTGAGAGCAAAACAGGTCCAGCAAAGTAGACCGCAAAAAATAACAGATATAAAAAAAAATTAATGCACATCATAGTAAAATTAATACCTTTCCAACTTCGCATCAAAGCTAATAAACTTATTAGTTTTAATAAATTTTGAAAAATAATGTATTACCAATATCTATTTGATTCATTTCTGGAGCTTTAGGTGAATACATACAAGTTTTAAATGCCAATTTAGCATCAATAATTGTTTTACTTGATTCGGAATAGTGGAAAACTACCTAGAGAAAAAATTAATTTACATCATTAACACCTTATTATCAGTACAACTATTTAAAATTAATAAAATCAAAATTTAAATTATTGGAATGATTAATGTTTAAGTATATAAATAATTTATTGATTAATTTTTTGGTTTTATTATTATAATATTTGATCACATTACTCACCAATATTACCATTGTAGTTAAAACTTTCATTTTCAAGCGTTGTTCAACTAAAATATACTTATGGTTTTGAATCACAGCGATACAATAGCTGATAGAAATATTTATTGTTAATAAAATACTTGAAGGACTTTTTTATAAAGAGAATATTTCACTTTGGTCTTATTGAAACAGAAATATTTGACAATTTGTATTTTATTTGTTAATAAACAATTTTTATATACAGCATGTATTAAAAAATAAATTTTTTCTTTTTTTTAAATGTTTAGAAAATTTAAATTTTAGCTTGCTGATATCATACAAGTGCCAAATGTATTTTATCATTCTTATGGTCTGTGCGTCTTTTGTTTCACTGAAGAATTTTGCAGCAGAGTGGAGTTGCTTCAATGACAAGGCATTACCTTTAATAGATGATGATAGTATTATTTGATAGTTTTTTTAATTCGTTAAATGACAAAAATTTTAAAAAACAATGTAGAATATTTAAAAATTATGTTTTCTATTTATGCTACAATATTAGTTTACCAAAAAATGTTACAATTCCAACCATAATGACTTAATAAACATTTTTGTATTCTATTGCATAAATATAAATTTCATAAATATACAAAGGTATATCTTTAATACCACTCTATTTCTTTTATAATAATAGATTATATAAGAAATTATTTTTCGAACTTTTTAGTTTCATATATTAATATTTATATTATTAATTACTTCTTTAATTCATTCCTCATATCTTATTAGGGTGTCAACTTTTTTTTTAATAAAATAAAATAAAATTATAAATAATTATTATCAAATCAAAATTATCTAATTTAAAAAATAATTGTTCTATAACAACTTTTGGAACAGTACTTCAATAGTTGTTAACATTTTTACACCTACGTGGGAGGAGAAATGAGGCTGAGAAATGTTTAATGGTAAAATAATATCTTTATCTAATGGTAAATATTGTCAAACCCGCGCCTCATCACTACTTTATATTTAAAGAAAAAACCCAGCACAGTGGTGTCGCAGCATAGTGGGGACGTTGCATAGTTAGGTCCAGTATAGATTTATTCTGACAGTGATTAAAATCACTATCATAAAAAACGCTTCGATGCAAATCTGTAGATAAAGGTTTAAAAAATTCTCAAAAATTTATGGACAAAAGCAACATCAACTTCTATTTCCTTAATTAAACCCAGATTAGTAATTAGTTTAATTATATATTATATAATTTTTTTAATTAATTGTTTTCAAATTATTATTGATTTTGATTTTTAATATGTTAAAAGAAATCATTTTGAACCTTCTTTTTTTTGTCCTTCAAAGTGAAAGTTTTAATTAAAAAAAAATGAAGTTATTACCATAACTTTTAGCTCAATTTGCAAGTTTGAAATTGACATTATTAAATAGAAAAAAATTAAATTGTTAAGATTAATATGCAATAAGGAAATTTTATAATTACTATTACAGTACATTTATTAGAAAAATTCGATTTTTTTTACATTTTTATTGTAATAGATCACTTAAATAGAAATCATAGTAATCATTTCTAATTAACTTTTGGTGTGTAAAAAGATTCTACAATGGAAATATTTAGAACTTAATTAATTTTGATTTACTTTAAAAGAACCAATAAAAAAAAGTAGTTAAAATGATTTACTCCATTGAGCGTATTATAATATTTGATTATAATTGTAAAAATCAGGTGAAACTAAAAATCATTTTTTTTTAAATTTATGATTTATATAGCAACATGTTACAAAAAAAATTTGAATATTATAGACTGGTAGAAAAACACACAAATAGATTTAAAAAATTGATAAATTACAAAGTAAAATTATTTACTATTGTAGTTGAATACTATTATCATATCAAATCTAATTCGAAAATAAATACTTTAAGAATATTAGAAATTAATGATTTTAATTGTTTGTAGGGTTATGCTACTTTTTATTTGAATAAAGAATATTTTTTCGATTTTTAAGAGTAATAACTTAAACTTAATACGAATTGTAATCATTTGACGTATCGTTGAAAAAAGTAGGTCTAGTGAGGGTTGGCAAAATGAATTGTAGCCACAAAAAGAACCACATAGTAAAATAATATTACCTATAACATATTAAAAATCAAAATCAGTATTAATTTAATACAATTTTTTTTGTTCTTAATTATTTTTTTTTTATTTNGTTCTTAATTATTTTTTTTTATATGTAAATACTTATTTTTTAATAATAAGTAATAATATTAAAACTTAGAAGTAATAGAAAAAGTTTAATTGCACATTTGAAAACATCGCGAAAAGTTTATTTAGAAAAGTATATATTTTTTCTGATGAAAGTTCCTTTTGTTCAGTGTATTTATTCATAAGTAACAAAATTTTTTTATTAAAAAGTATTGCATAAATTCCTTTAAATTTGTATACGCATTAAAAGTATATGAATATACAACTCCTTTTTATTTTTATAATATCTCCGTAAAAATTACAATATTATATTATTGAATACCACTTTCATACTCAATTTAATTACTGTAATTATTATGTTTCATATATTATAATTATAAATCGGGGGTAAAATTAAGGGAATAAGTGTTATTGTTGTTTTTGAAATAATCTACCAATTTCATTTTTATCTATTTAATAATATCTATTTCAAACTTGCAAGTTGAATTAAAAGTTATGTTAATTAATTAATTTTTTTTTTATTAAAACTTTCACTTTAAAGAACAAAAAGAAGTAGGTTCAAAATGATTACTTTTAACATATTAAAAATCAATAATAATTTGAAAATAATTAATTATAAAAATTATATAATATATAATTAAACTAATTACTAATCTGGATATAATTAAGGAAATAGGAGTTGATGTTGGGTTGGGTTGGTTACATTTTTAACTTTATAATGCTATAACTCATTGAAAAGTGTACGAATCAACACAATTTTTTTATGAGAAATAATATTTTTTAATAATCCCTTTTTCATTCGACATACTTTATCTTAATCAGGGTATTAATAAGAAACTAGCAGATAATGTAGCTTTTGTAATTATCCACCAATTTCTTAGAATTAAACACTATCTACTGATTTGCATCGAAGCGTTTCTTATGATAGTGATTTTAATCACTGTCAGAATAAATCTATACTGAACCTAACTATGCAACGTCCTCACTATGCCGCGACCCCACTGTGTTGGGTTTTTATTCATGATGTTTTTCGTAAGCTATTACAATAAATTTTAATTTATTTTTATATTAATACTCAAATTAAAACTTACGCTTTAAAACAACAACAATATATATGTATATATATATATATATATATATATATATATTGTTCGGGGAAAAAAGATAAAAGCGTAAATAAAATCAAATATGTTTTCATTTAAATTATTTTTGAAAAATTTGTCATTATGTAATTAATATACTTAAAATTACTAACATAAAAAATTAGCAAACAGTACTATTATTTTAAAATTAAAGAAATTCATTGTTCCAAGGATCTACTTGCTTCGCACTTCCCTTTACTATAATGGCTTTCAAAAATATGCTTTTCTTGTGTAAATATACCTAATTTCACATTTTATAATAGTATAACTATTTAAAAATACAGCATGTTCAATAAGTAAGGAAACAGGTAAATTGTTACAATGAGAACAATAGAAACCAGTTTCTTTACTTACTGAACATTATATATATATATATGTATCAAAATATTAATATTTTACTAATATCTTATGTTACTACCCTTTTATTTGATTATTTATTTTTTTTTTTTAATTCTATAGAACATGACATAAGTTTTAATTTGATATATATTTAAAGGACGCAGTATTTCCGGAACATTTTCAAAAGTCAAGTTAAAAATTTAGTTTTTGTAAAAAAAGTTGCTATTTTAAATCCCCCCAATGAGCAGAATAAGTGTTAGATTTTCAAAAAAAAAATGATATTAAATGAAAGGAAAATATCTAAGGTTTCAATATAAAAAAATATTACTTTGATTTGTTAATTTTTGAAAAGGTTATGGGAGTTTTAAGTACAAAAAATATTCCGATAGAAGGTGATTTTTATCGCAAACATATATTTTTTTTAATTTCGACAGCCATTTGCACATAGAAGATAAGGTGTCGGGACAAATTTTTTTTTCATTTTATAGTACACAAAAGAAGCTTTAATATGATATGTGTTTAAAGGACGCAGTATTTCCGGAACATTTTCAAAAGTTTAGTTGAAAAAGTTAGTTTTTGTAAAAAAATTGCAATTTTAAATCCCCCCCATGAGCAGATTAAGTGTTAAATTTTAAAAAAAATTTTATCAAACGAAAGGAAAATATCTAAGGTTTTAGTTTTAAAAAAAATTATGTTGATTTGTTGATTTTTGAAAAAGTTATAGAAGAACGGGGGAAAATTTTTAAATTTTTAAGAGAATGTCTTCAATTAGATACGATTTGTGATCTCTTGACGTATTGTTAAAATAAATCGGTCCAGTGAGAGCTGAGAAAAAGTAGTGGCAGTCACAAAAAAAAAAATAAACACATCATGGTAAAATTAATACCTTCTCAGCTTCGCATCGAAGCTAAAAAGTATTTTTACATCTATATGAAGTAAACGGAATGAATCGTTAAAACAATAACAATTACAATAACTGATAATAAATATATAAAACTAAAAACTATCAAAAATAGTTTTATTTATATAATTATTGTTTAAAATTTATACAATAATTATACTTTTTATGAAATTTTAACCCTAGCCTCTCGATGCTATGAAATAGCATCGAGAGGCTAGCGTTAAAAAATTACTCTGTTATTGCATATAAATTATTTTGTATAATATCAAAAATATATAAATAAATTATTAACTTAAATAATAAAAATTTAGTAAAGATGAATTCATGCAAATATAATGTATTTTTTCGATTAAACATTTTATTTTTATTTTATCATCAATTTTATTTTTTAATATTTATTTTATTTTCGTATGTTTCATTGGATTTAAATTTAGTTTTCTAAATTAAATCATAGTTTTATTTCATGCAGGTATTTTTATATTAAGAGATATACTATATCCCTATCATAAATTATATTATAACAATAATTAATTTGTATACGATTTAGTACTAATTATTTCTTTAAATATCTATCAGTTTGAAATATTTACTTCATTGTAAAGTACAACTGAAACGAAAATTTTATGAATGACTGTTATTTATACAGTATATTTAAAGTCTTAAAGTCATTTTTCGTCTTCATTACAAATTTGCGTATCTCGATTTCACCAAATTATTCAAGAGGAAGAAGAGAATACACTATTTTTGTACAACTAACAATAGATTTTTACTACTTCATTATTTCAAGGTTTTTTTATTCCAATAATACTTAATATACGTCATCATTTTAAGTATGAATTTTGCCCAAAAAATCTGAAAACTCTGTTTTGCCATAAAGTCAACAATCAATATATAAAACACTTTTAAAATATAAATAGGCTGTACAGAAATATTAAAATATTTCATAATTATATAATGATGAAAATACATATGCATTTGATACATAATATTTAATAGAAAAAATCACAATAAAGTAAACGATGTTGTAGTTTTGGAAGGATCGAGGGGAGCGTGAACACAAACAATGGAACACTAAAATCTTTGTGATCATCAAATGTTACTTTTAGAAACTCTTAACCAAAATATTTCAATAGAAATAATAATTATAATCGAATTAAAATTTTATTAACTCCCTTCAAAAAAATGTATAAATTTTTGCAAATAAAAAATACAAATTATTTAAAAACACAATAAATTAACACATTTTAAGTTGTATATTCTGTGACATATTTAGTCTATTAAATCAACTTTACAGTAGAATACAATTACAATATTTTCACTATAAAATATTGAAGTATTTACTATATAGTAAGTACACATTTTAGACTTTATTTATACAACTGATTATTGAAATAAGTTAAGCGTTAGATATTTATTCAATAATAATTTTTTCTTTATATTTTTTATCTCATGTTATAATACTTATTATAAATCTTGTCGAGTTAATTACGCAGACTTACTTGAAATGATCAGTAGATTAATAAATAAAAATTCGTCTTTTATAAAAGCGAATATTAAATGCCATTATAATTATAAATAATTTATCAACTCAACAGTTTTAAATATTAACAATGAGAATTAAAATTTAATATGTGTCCACAAAAAAAGTTATTATGGACTAAAGAAACCAATAAAGTACGAAAACTGTTGCTTTGATTGGTGAAATAACCATATAATCAGTTATAGAATATCATATTTAAACAATTAATACTATTAGCTTATTAAAATATAAGAAGTAAATTGTTAAGAAATTATAGTATTTGCGTTTTAGCGATTAATAATGTTAATTTCTAAATTAATAGTATTTGATACTATTTGCTCACTTAATCTATAAAAAACCCAGCACAGGGGGGTCGCAGCTCAGTGGTGACGTGGCATAGATGGGTCAAGTATAATATATCTGACAATGATTTAAATCACTATCAAAAAGAAACGCTTCGATGCAAAACTTTAGATAGTGTTTAATTTTAAAAAATTGGTGTATTATTCCAAAAGCTACATAATCTGCTAGTTCCTTATTAATATCTTGATTCAGATATAGTATGTCGAATGAAAAAGGGATTATTAAAAAATATTATTTCTCATAAAAAAATTGTATTGATTCATACACTTTTCAATAAGTTATAGAATTATAATGTTAAAAATGAAAAAAAATAAAATCGAGAATTTTCATACAATAATAGCATTCGGTAGCCATTTTCACCATGAAGACCAAATAAAGTCTGAAATTTTTTTTTCCATAATAAAGTACATTACATTAGCTTTAATTTAAGATATATATAAAAGTGTCAGACTTTCCGGAACACTATCAAAATTTAAGTTGAAAAAGTAAATTTTTTGTAAAAAAGTTGTAATTTTGAATCCCCCCTGTGGCAGGTAAAAAGTCAGATTTATAAAAAAAATATATCAAATAATAGGTAAAGACATCAAGCATCTAAAAAAAAAATTGTATTGATTTGATTATTTTTAAAAAAGTTATGGTAGTGTTAAATCAAAAATATTGAAAAAATGTTGGAAATTAACGATTTTTAAATTTGTAATTTTTTTGGAGATTTCCCCCATTTATGGGTAACGATAGAAATTATTTCTATTTTTGAGGGTAATGTCTTCTACTAGATACGATTTGTGATCTTTTGACGTATTGTTGAAAGAAATCGGTCCAATGAGAGCTGAGAAAAAGTGGTAACAGACACAAAAAAAACTAACAACTGTTTTGGTCGTTAGTTACCATAATCGAATCTTTGTTCGTTAACTAGCCATTAACGAATTGTACATATTTCTATGGTGTTATTTGGTCATATTTAAATGTGGTGTTAATAGTAAACGCCTGAAAAGACTAAAATGACAGTTCGATTGTTATTCTCCATTTAATTTATAAAACAAACATTTTGAGACTAATTTTCGTGGTTGTGATTGGAAAAAAATACGAATATAAATTACGAATTAATTATCACTCTAATCAATAGCAATTCTAATCGGCAAGTTTAATAAATTAAATTCAATAAAATAAAACACTGATATTTGAAAACTATGCTTATTAAGATCAATTCTAAATAACACACGTGTTATCCAGAAATTATACTTGTCGGTAATCTTGTCAATCATAGACTGACGGTGAAACCTCGACCGTGTTATTGTTCAATTTAAACCTAATTGTTTTCCTTTAATATTTAAAAATTTTTTTGATCCCATAAAATCACTTCACTAATAAAACCATTGGTTTGAAAATTGATAAAATACTAGTTACGCCCTCTCTTGGCTCATAGTGTTTCTCTCACTTCTCTGGTTGGGATACTTGTAGGCGCCACTGCTTCTCGATTTATTNCTCTCACTTCTCTGGTTGGGATACTTGTAAGCGCCACTGCTTCTCGATTTATTATATATCCTTCTAAAAGATATCAAATTGACTCAAATATTATAATATCAATATTATATATTATTACAAATTTATTATTACACATTCATATCTATTACTATAACCAATACAGAATGATCTATTTTAATATAACCTCAACTATTTACAATATAAAATAACCAGCTAAGTGAAGACGTGACATAATTGGGACAAGTATAGATGATATCTAACAGTGATTAACATCATTATAATAAAAACGGTTCAATGCGAATCTGTTAAATTTCTGTTTAAGAATGGCAATTTATACAAACTAACTTTTTATTTGATATAGTAACGAACTATGTAGACGTTCTGAAACATGTTCTATAAATTGAAATGAAAAAAAAAATTGAAATGCAAAGGTCATATATAATCGAATGAAAAACAGAATGATCGGTTTATCTAATCCACTTGATTACTCTCAAAATAAATACAATATTAAAAAAAAATATGTATGTTGTCCATGAAATAAATTAAGTTGACGTCCTTACAAAGCATTAGGTATGAACCGAAAAAGTACTTTATTCATAAATCAAAAAACATATTATTACAACTGAGTAAATTTTTTATGATCATACAAAAAAATTTTAACATTATATTTGATAGGCAAAGTCAACAATATTCAGTTTTAAGTATTATTCTTTCACAATATTAAATTTACTTATTTGTTACAAGTTATTTTTACTTAAATTTAAGTATTAAATGAAACAATTCTTTAATAATATATACACTTTTAGTTTAAAATATATAGTATACTAACTGATTTAAATAGTTCCAGCTTAATTTTAAATTCCAGATACGTGTCAACTATGTATTGGTTATTCAACATATTCACATTAATACTGGTAATAATATACAAAAATAAAATTATGAATATATTACAACCATTAATACAAAATTACAATTATATTTGTAATTTAAATTCTTGATTGATTACCAAGTATGAGAAGTTTATTGATTTTTTTTTTTAATAATGTTTTTGCTTATATTAGTCAAATAATTTCTTAATTTTTTTTATTATATTAAATGACCTTCATTGGTGAGGTTATTGGCCAAATGAATTAATATTTACATTAGTTACGTATAATTAATTAATACAAATCATTTATTTATAAATAGTACCATAAAATTATAAATATTTAAAGTAAAATTAAACAAAACAGTACATTTCTACACTATCGAAAAAATTAATAAATATTTATTTCTTTATTCTTATATAGAAACTATAATTCTAAGGCATTAATAAATTTATGATAATGNCTATAATTCTAAGGCATAATTAATTTATGATAATGTTTAAAATTGTAATAAGTATAATGGAAAATAGTTTGCATTTCATAATAAGATTTGAAATTTAAATTATTCAAATCCAATCATGCATAACGTTCTCTCTAAAAGCTACTGCTTGTGCCAGAAACGACGGGAAAACTTACATAGGCTAGCTCATTGAAATTGATAAAACTCTACGAAAGGCACGACGTGGTACTAATCTAGGAAAGCCGCCATTGTAAATTTAAACATTCTAAAAATTTTCAGATTATTCAAACATATGCTGATGATAACAACGAAAAATGTAGTTTAAAACAATCAAAATTGGCATTAGAAAAGTGCATGGCGTTGTATAAAATTTCAATTGAAAAAGAAAGTAATAATTGTATACATAATTTTATGTTTAATAATAGAATAAATACCCAATTACAATATTTCATATATTAATAAAATACCATCTATTGCTTTTTTACTTAAAAACTATTGTAATAGTATTACTCATGGTGCGTATTAGGATTTATATTCAATTATTAATAAATTTAATTTTACAATTTTGTAGTATTAAAAGCTAATTTGGAAAAATTATCATGCTTACTTCTTAAAATGGAGAGAAACCAAGAAGCTATAACATTAACAAGATTAGAAATAATCAATGTTGTCTGTAAAAATACACTTAGTAACATTAATTATGAAGAATGCGCACCTTTGATGAATGAATGTAGTCACACATTTTATGATATAATAATAAATTATGCTAATTATGACTACGATGAAATATTATTGAANACACATTTTATGATATAATAATAAATTATGCTAATTATGACTACGATGAAATATTATTGAATAGACGTGGTAATATAACAAATAAAGAAGGCAAATTATTACAGAGATGTGAAGAAAAAGTAATTATTAAATATGTTTTATTATGGACTTTGAACCTCATGCTTTTGATTCAAAATGTTAATTTCACAAAAGGTTAAAAAAAATAAATAAAAAATAATTCTGAATGAGATTAGGGTTAAATTAATACTTCCAAATATTCAGAAAATGAATGAATTGGCACAAAATTATTGAGAAAAATTATAAAACAAATTTTCCAAAATATAAATTAAACATGAGTGTCAAAATTTCTATTAATAATAATTTTAAAGTTTTTGTCATTTCAATTTTCAAAATTTTCATTTTCTATATGTCTACTAGGTTTCTTTCAATAATTTAAATAATAATTCTTAAATATTTTTATTAATATTTTAACACAAAAATCAATTGTAATACCAGTATTTCAATAGAAACGACCCAAACTCATGATGACAACTATTTTTGATTATACAATTTCATAATACTTCAAAGTATTAAATGCAAACTTCTAACTATTTACATATATATATAGATATATATAGATGTAATTAAAAAATCTTTATAAATACTTTTATGTTTAAATTACTTAGACTTATTTATATAAAACTATTATTCTTTTAAAAATTATAAGTGATTTTATTTTTTGTTCTGATATTTTAATATTTCGATGTTATTTAAAAAGACAGTACTCGAGAATATTACATTTTAATTCTTAAATTTAAAAACATTTTAAATATGGTACTTATATTTTTTATGAATGAATAAACGTTAATCATAACTATAATTTGGAAATAACTCTTTGAGAAACCTGATTCATACATATTTTATAATAATGTTGTAATTTAGGTTGATCTAACTAAAGAGGAAATGGATATTGATACATTATTTGATAAACGTTCAAAGCTAAGTAAATGTTTGTACGAAAATTTTCATTTGCGATCATACGATGTATATGAAGGTAAAGTAATATTAATAATAATATTTTATTAGGTTCCAAATGAATAACCAATT